TAAATAAATAAGCCTACACCTTTACTTTATTTACTTTGTTCACTTTGGTTGATAGGGCTGGAGCGATAGCACAGCGGTAGGGCGTTTGCCTTGCACGCAGCCCACATGGCCAACCCGAGTTCAATTCCTCCGACCCTACCGAGAGTATCTTGCCCACACGGCAGAGCCTGGCAAGCTACCCGTGATGTATTCAATATGCCAAACACAGTAACAAAAAAGTCTCCAATGGAGACATTACTGGGCCCGCTCGAGCAGATCAATGAACAACTGGAGGACTGTGGACCGTGACCTGTGACCCGTTCACTTTGGTTGATAAGATGGAGTGTGTCTTGGGAAACCAGCCTTCTCCTGAAGGGAAGAAAAAACAATGACTTTTGTTTTTCTCTAGTGCAGTGCTTTTGAGATTCTTACACATTTATTTAACATAAGAATAGTTCAAACCTTTTTAGTTCAAGCCTTCTGTATAGTATTCATTAGGTGAATGGGGCAAATTGAGTTTGGTTCCTCTGTGAGAGATATTGATTGCTATCAGGTTTTAGATATTAAGATTAGAATTTATCTGAAATTCGAATTTGCATTTGTGGAATACTCTTTATGTGAAAGAATGCTTTCATTTATCTTCTCTGAATACCTAGGAGAAGAATAGCTGTATCTTTAACCAAAAGTATTTTAGAAGAAATCACCAAACTGTCTTTGCAAAGCAGCCATACCCTTTTGTACTAGTCCATCAGGAAAGTGAGGGAATTTCAGCTGCTTCACATTCTTGGCAGTATTTGGTATTTTTAATGCCATTTACATAGTACTTGCAGGTATCACCAAGAAGGGCCCATGAGCAGTGCCTGGAAGGCTCCCTGCCCCCTTCCCCCCCAAAGTCATTCTGACAAGGGTACACCTTATTTTACCTGGGGATCTCTGAGAAGCAATTTGGAAGCTATACAGAAGCTCTATATTTCCTATGTCCTGGAGTATACCCATAAAACACTAAAAAATTAATTCTAAAAGATAGATGTGCACCTGTGTTGCAGAGCTGAGTGATATAGACTTGATATAGGAAGAATCTAAATGTTCACTCACAGACAACATGGCTTTAGGCCTATATTTGTGTCTGTGACATTCCAGAAAAGAAAATGGAATGGAGGAAAGAGGCCTAAAGGGTAACTTAAGAGATTTTTAGAGAGACAGAAATGGGGACCTAGAAAAATAGTACAGAAGTAACGGAGTTTGCTTTACTTGTAATTCACCCTGGTTTAATCCCTAGTTGGGGTTCACTAAGAGCAACCTTTGAGTATTGCCAGAAATGAACCAAAAAATGATGTAAATAAAGTAATGAAAGTGGTCTCTATCATGATCATACCCATGTCAAGCGTGTAAAAATTTTAAATTACTTATGAAAACTAGTTATACACATTATGTATTTTAATAAACCTGATTTTTAAAGGAAAAAAAAAGGAAAAAATAACTGGTCCTATCAATGACAGATGTTGGAATTTGGGGCAGTTTTGCTTTTTTCTTCATTGGTTTGAGATTGTCTGAATCTAGGTTGATATTCAAATTACACCTCTGTAGTCACATAAAAATGTTTTTTGTTGACACCTGACCTGGGGCCATCACTGTTTCCTGGAAATATCACTTGACCCTCCAGTAGTTGCCCTTTTTAGCTGTCCTTCTTCCCACTCCCCCCACCACCACTTTATTTAAATACGTGCTTTACAACGTTTCATGCTGTTTTGTTACAGGCATTCAATATTCCCAACATCAGTCCCATCACTACTGTCACCTTCTCTCCATTGTTGTCTCCATTTTCCCAACCACCCTCAAGCCTGCCCCTGTAGCAGGCCCACAATAATTTATTTTTTGTTGTTGTTAACACTAAATGGCTAACGGAATGATAAAAAAAATAATTCAGTTAAAAAAATTGTGAAAATTGTTGTGTCTCACCATGGGGATATTTAGTCCTTGTCTAAGGGTTTACTGAGCAGTTGTTGTGGATTAAGCCTTCTGTGTTAATGTTTTTGTTAGTCAAGCTTAGTCAACTAAGTTTGTACATTACATTACCATTCAATCTGGTGTGCGTCTACTGGGATATTAGCACTGTAGAGTTTAGACATGTCACTTGGACATAAATGCAGCCACATGCTCCAGACAATTCATAATAGTTAGGGAGCAAGGGCAATAGTATAGCATGTAAGGTGCTTGCCTTGCACGCAGTATTTGGGTGTGATCTGGGTTTGATCCTTGAAATCCCATATGGTTTCCTGAGCACTACCAAAAGCACTACCAAGTTACTCCTGAGCACAGAGCCAGGAGTAACTTCTGAGCATTACCACACTTGGCCCAAAAGAAAATAAAAAGGAAGGAAGGAAGAAAGGAAGGGAGAAAGGTGGGGAGGAAGAAAAGAAGAAAGAAAGAAAGAAAGAAAGAAAGAAAGAAAGAAAGAAAGAAAGAAGGAAGGAAGGAAGGAAGGAAGGAAGGAAGGAAGGGGGGAGAGAGAGAGAGAGAGAGAAAGAAAGAAAGAAAGAAAGAAAGAAAGAAAGAAAGAAAGAAAGAAAGAAAGAAAGAGAAAGAAAGAGAGAAAGAAAGAAAGAAAGAAAGAAAGAAAGAAAGAAAGGAGAGAGAGAAAGAAAGAAAGAAAGAAAGAAAGAAAGAAAGAAAGAAAGAGAAAGAAAGAGAGAGAGAAAGAAAGAAAGAAGAAAGAAAGAAAGAAAGAAAGAAAGAAAGAAAGAAGAAAGAAAGAAAGAGGGAGAGAGAGAAAGGAAGGAAGGAAGGAAGGAAGGAAGGAAGGAAGGAAGGAAGGAAGGAAGGAAGGAAGGGAAATAAAGAGAGAGAGAGAAAGAAAGAAAGAGAGAGAGAAAGAAAGAAAGAAAGAGAGAGAGAGAGAGAGAAAGAAAGAAAGAAAGAAAGAAAGAAAGAAAGAAAGAAAGAAAGAAAGATCCAAAATGTTTAACGGGGCAGTGAGTTTACATGGCGGCAGTGTGGGACGTGGGTGTGGTTCACCCTCCCTTTAATTAACCTGCAATCTCTGGGTTAATTAATGCCCTTGAAGGACAATTTTTCTCCCAATGGCCTCTATAGTTTCTCTCCAATTCACTGAAGCGTGCTGCAAGATTAGACAAGCACAACAACAATTAGAATATAGTGTCAAGTGTAAGTGTTAGTGTAAACACTAAAGAGTTGTTATGATCAGAATGTATTGTCAGGTCACTTGTACTGGAGTGGATGAGACCATGGGTATCTGCTGAATTTACAAGTCCAAATCGATGCTGAGATCCCGGTGGAAACAGGGTTGTTCTTTAGGGTTGGTTGCTGAGACAGTCTTGCACATGCCTGAGTGGGAGGGAGCCAGGGCATACTCTGGGGCCCCCTAACCTGTCCAGCTCACAGGGGCCCTCGAATTCCTGCTGACAGTACTCCTGCCTCCAAGCATGAATCTCTGTGCAGTTTCCTAGACACTGACCTGCACAGATCTGGGCTGACTCAGAGCCAGGGAACTGGGCAACGGGTTTCTCTGCCGTAGATGGGTTCAAAATCTATGAAGGGAAAGGAACTTGACCCTCACTTCCGGCTTTGCCTTGTGTATTTCTCAAGCAGTGCTCAGGGCTCCGAGGTCTAACAGTTCAGTGCCAGGCCTCAGGAATGCCAAGACCCCACTTGAGGCCTACTGGGGGCCACATACAACAGTGCTGAGGAGATGTGTGGGGGGAGTGGGGGTGGGTGGGGCAGTATGTCACAAAGTGCTGGGGATCAAACTTGGGGCTTTGAGATTGCAAGCCATGCACTCAAGTCCTTCTACCTTTCTTACTGCCTCTCCTCCCATCACAAACCACCCCATCTCCTTCCCCCTCTTCCTTTCTCCAGGATACTCTAGGAACAGTATGTGCTTGCTGGTTGGTTGTAAGATCCATGAGGCAATTCTCAGGGATGTCATCTCTTGTGCCTTCTGCCTCTGGAGCATGAGAACAATGCCTGCCCGCTTCTGTGAGCTCCACAGACACTGATATAAGAAAAAGAAGGAATAGTTGGAAGCCTGCCTCATGCGCAGGGGGAGAAGGCAGCTGGAATAGAGAAGGGATCACTAAGAAAATTTGGGTTGGAAGAATGGGTCGGGATGGGAGATGTGTGCTGAAAGCAGATAAAGGACTAAACATGATAACCTCTCAGTATCAGTATTGCAAACCATAATGCCCCAAAATAGAGAGAGAGTCTGGAAGAAATTGTCTGCCATAGAGGCAGGGGGAGGGTGGGAAAGAGAGAGATACTGGGGAGATTGGTGATGGGGAATGTGCACTGGTGGAGGGACGGGTGTTTGATCATTGTGTGATTGTAACTCAAACACGAAAGCTTGCAACTATATCTTACGGCGATTCAATAAAATTAAAAATTGTTTTTTAAAAATTTAAAAAAAGAAAAAGAAAAGACCAGGAGAAGCATCTTTATAAAGAATGTTTCCATTTACTTTATTATTTTAAACCTGAACCTGCATAAAATGATGGGGCGAGGGGAAAGAGGCGTGCATTGAGCTCAAAGTAGCCCCGTGACATAAACTGGGGACAAGCTCAGAGTTGGAGCCTGCAACAGCTCCACGGGGAGGACTCAGGATTTTCTGGGGGCTGATGGTGGAAAGGGGTCGTGGTCAAGTCTTAGGATGGGGCTCAGCCCACTGCATGGGAAAGAAGGGGATGGTGAAGGGACCACAAAGAGGGTCGTGGGGTTTGGGGATTCTGAACTAGCGAGACCCAGTTTTCTCCCTGACTCCAAATGGGGGACCAAGTGCCTCCCCCAGAGGGTGCAGCTCAAAAGGAGACTTAAAAGAAACTTAAGCCTGAAGTTTCTGATCAAGCAGCATCTTCCCTCTCTGCAGCGCTCACACTCCTACCCTCCTCCTTGCGCCAGGCAGGCCAAGTCCAGGCAGAGGGACAGACGCTCCTCCAAGCTCCCTGGAGCGGACAAGGGGCCCATGATGCGCTGTGTCCAGCCTGGCTGCCACCTCAGCGCCCGTGGGCTCACACATTGGTGTGCTGAGACCCCTCAGAGGCAGCACTGCCGGGCTGGCTCCGGCCCGAAGGGGCTGCGCTGGCTGCCCGGCTTCTCTGGCTCCCCAGACCCCCACCCGGGCTCCTCGGTGCCGTCTCGTCCATCTGCTTGATCTTCTCGTGCTCCTCCTTGAGGAAGAAGTCCACCAGCAAGCTCTTCTCTTTCTTGATCTGGTCACTGATGTCCGTGGGGATATCGGGGATCATCCAGTCCACAAGGACGCTGAGGAACATCACGAGGTTCTGCAGGAATTCAGGGGGAGAGGGGAAGGGGCACTGAGAGGAGTGTCCCCCTCATCGGAGGACACAGAACAAACAGCCCAGAAATCCCCCGGGACTCTGCTGTCTAAGAGATGCTGACCTCAGCCGTGGGTAACTAACTCCATCCCACCGTCCCTTTCCCCGTCTTCCTGCCCAAGGTAGGGAGAGAGCAAGATAACTCCCATCCCAGAGGGCCAGTTGCATAATCAGGGATCCCCAACCCGGAGCCCCTCATAGTTCCTCTTGGTATGCTTGGCCTCCAGCTGCTGGGAAGTGGCCAGGTACCCACAGCCCATGTCTCCCTGTCTGCTCCTTCAGCGCTGACCTTTGGCCTGGGCACCAAGTTCTGGTCTCTGCCAACCTCTCCCCACAGTTCCCTACTCCCCTTTTTCTGCTCTCTGCTCCACTTGGTCTGCCCAGGACCCCCGGGGGTCCATCCTGGCTGGATCAGCTGTGTTGGTGAACAAGAGACCAGAGGAAGTCTGTCTCCAGGGAACGTCTTGTCATGTCAAGGGGAAGATTGGACAAAATGAATTATTTAGGTCTTGCTTTGGGGGCAGACTTCGGGGCAGAGGGGCGAGTAGGTGGAAACATTCGAAATATGGTCGTGGGAAGGTGTAACGGTGGTGGGATTAGTGTTGGAGTATTAAATGTAATAAATGATTGTGAACAGCTTGATAAAAATAAAATAAAATTTAAAAAATAAAATAAAATCTAAAATGGCGGTGCTGAGCTATAATACAGTGGGTAGGGCATTTGCCTTGCATGTGGCCGACCCGGGTTCAGTTCCCAGCATCCCATATGGTCTCCCGAGCACCACCAGGAGTGATTCCTGAATGCAGAGCCAGGAGTAACTCCTATGCATTGCCGGGTGTGACCCAAAAAGAAAAAAAATCTAAAATGGCCATACCTTTTATGCTAAATGAAAAATAAGAATGAGTTGAAGTTTTTTTTTTAAAAAAGGGTGGGGGGGACACTGGTTACAGCTGGGCACACATCATTTGTCCCTGCCCTTCCCCATTCCCTATTCCCCTTGCTCCTCTCCCTCCTGCCATCTGGAGGTCAGGGAAGAAGCCCAGGACAGGGGCAGGCAGAGAATTCCCAAGGCCACCTTGAATCCCACATGTGCCAGAGCCTGGTAGGGGATCCACTGTGGTGTGTGTGTGTGTGTGTGTGTGTGTGTGTGTGTGTGTGTGTGTGTGTATGCATTGTCTCTGCTCTCCTTCACTCATGCCTCGCCATGAGTGGAATGTGACACGTGACCCAGAGTAAAGTGAGGAGACACCCCTGGGCTGAGCCGTCTGTCAAAGGTATCGCCCCATCTCTCCCGAGAAAGAATGGCTGTCTTCTTTCCATGAAAGATGAGCCGGTGGGCTTCTTCACTTCCTGGGCAGGGGTCCGGTGGACCAGGATACCTTAGAGCCCCCCAGAGAGCTGCCCGGCAGGGCACACAAAAGCCTGCAGGAGTCTGAGAAAAGACCCGCAGGACCCCAAGTGGGGCCAGGCGCTCTGAGCAATTGGAGCTGCAGCTATTGAAGGTGATAGGAATCGCCGGTTCAGGTTTGCTATTCAGGCAGGCCGGGCTCCAGGGCTCTGCAGCCCTTCCCGCCAGATGTCACGGGGACCAACTCAACGTGAACAAAGGAGAGAGTGCTGGAGGAGAAAGGTCCGGAACGGGAGCCCTTCCACGGGCTGCAGAGACCAGCCAGAGCTGAGTCGGCCCTAGACTCAGGTTGTTTTCGCTGACTCTTCCCATTGACCTTTCTTATATGGGGTTTGGATGGAACTCCCTCTTCCCACCAAACTGTAGGCTACATGCACGTCTTTCTAGTAACCTACTCGTGCTGGGAGGTCATTCTGCCTCCCCACTGGGAAAGTTCCCTCATTCAACTCCTGGTCCTCACCTGCCACATCGCATTCCCTGGCTGGTTCCTCAAGACCATGCAAGGCTGCAGAGGAGGGGCAGGGAGAAGACACGGCTCGTCCCCACTCACCCCTGCTACAGCCTGCATCAAAACCAGCTGTTCCTGCTTTTTGAATCACACCCGGTGATGCTCAGGCTCTGCACTCAGGAATTACTCCTGGCGGTGCTCAGGGGGACCATATGGGATGCTAGGAATTGAACCTGGGTTGGCTGCTTGCAAGGCAAATGCCCTCGCCACTGTGCTTTTGCTTCAGCCCCCAACCAGATGTTCCTGATGACAACAATTTACCTGGAAGATGATGACAAAGGCCAGGCGTGCAGACAGAACCGACCAGTACTGTTTGGAAAACTCGTATGGGTTCGGGGCCCAGGGTGGTTCTCGGTAATCCTTAAACCTGCCCAAAGACAAACGTGTGGTGAGTTGGGGAGGAGACAGAATAGCACCTGCAGGCACAAAGCAGCAAGAACATGCTGGACTCCCAGGTTTGGAGAGTAGTGGGACACTGCAGAGAAATCCAGGCCATCCATGAGAAGAAAAGAACCAAATTCCCTCAAAAACAAACAAAGCCACTTAGTGGTCGCTTCTCCATCCCAGCTGCTTAAAGTAGACTATGGATGGACACTTAGTACCTGTATCACAAACCATAACATTCAAACCATAACCCTCGAAAAGGAGAGAGAGAGAGAGAGAGAGAGAGAGAGAGAGAGAGAGAGAGAGAGAGTGTAAAAGGGAATGTGCCTGCCACGGAGGCAGGGGCTGGTAGGGAGAGGGATACTGGAAACATTGGTGGTGGAGAATGGGCACTGGTGGAAGGATGGGTATGCGAATATTGTTTAATTGAAACACAATCATGAAAGTTTGTAAGTCTGTAACAGTATCTCACAGTATCACTGTATCACTGTCATCCCATTATTCATCGATTTGCTCAAGCGGGCACCAGTAATGTCTGCATTTGTCCTAGCCCTGAGATTTTAGCAGCCCCTCCTTACTCGCACTTCCCAACAGTGCAGCATTGGAGGCTGTTTCAGGGTCAGGGGAATGAGACACATCATTGCTACTGCTTTTGGCATATCGAATACGGCACAGGAGTTTGCCAGGCTCTGCTGTGCGGGCAGGATACTCTCAGTAGCTTGCTGGGTTCTCCGAGAAGGAGAATTAGACTATATAAGAGATTGTGTGGCTGCATATGTGGCCGCGCACTTTTGGGAGCTTTGTTTTATAGTCTCTGATGCTTTGTTTAGCTTTATATAGCTTTGTTTTATAGTCTTTGTTTTATAATCTCACAGTGATTCATTAACATTTTAAAAAATGCTAGAAATGACTTTGTGGGGGTAGCTGTACCCAGTAGTGCCTGGGGATCAAACCCAGGCTTCCCACATGCTCCAGCTCTCTGAGCCATCTCTCCAATCCCCAGCCTAGAAATGTCCCCAATGTTTCATCTAGTCTCTATACACCGTGCCCCCACCCCAATGTCCAGAGGAGTCCAGGAATCAGGAGGTCCAATAAAGGGATTGGAGGGTCCATCTGGGTTCCCAGAGGAGGAAGACTCCCTATACATGTATCCAAGTTCTCTGGAGCCCAGATTGGTGATAATATAAATGCCGGGAGACAGCTGTAGGATTCAACTCCAATTGACTTCAGCCTTGAAGGGGGTTGGCCACAGAGCTGCATGGTTGTAGCCAAAGGAACTAAAGACCAAACTGGAGGTGCATTGGGTGTGAGGGACTTGGGGGTGATCATGATTCATGGGTCCTTTCCTGACCATCCTTATGATTTTTTTCCTGAGGCTTAATGTTCAAAAGGCTAGGATGCTGCATGCGAGCTCCCCCTTCTCTCTGAGGCTCGTGGGGAAGTTAAGAGATCTCCTCGTCACTGTCTCGACCCCTGCCCCCCGTGCTGGGATGACTCTCCTAAAGAAGGGCCCATTTTCTCAGACTCACTATTTTTGTTTTCTAAAAAAAAAAGAGAAGCGCTGAAGAGCAATGGCCTGTCAAGGACCTGTGCATGCAACTGAAATCTGAAGCTCAGGAAAGAAAAACCAGTGCTGGGCTGGAGGAAGAGATAAGCCCCTAAGCTAAGCACCAAGACTGAGCGGTGTGTTGGCAGGGCAGGATGGTAGTGTGGAGGGAGGGTATGGGGCTAGGTTCAGGGGACTGTCTGAGAAAATAAGATCATTGCCTGAGCTTTTCTGGCCGTTTTCTGGGCTCCTGTTTAGAAACATGCTTTCAGGTGGGTATTGCTTCCCCCACACAGTAGAAACTAAGACTTAGAGACACTAAATTACCTGGCCAGGGCCCTGGGGCTGAGTCAGAAGTGAGTGCCAAGGGAGAAGTCAAACCTGGTGCATTCCCTCTTGCCATCCCTTGCTATAGAGCACCTCGTCAACAGCTGCTGTCTGCGGGGCGAACTCAGAAATGGGTGCCCTCTCTGTACCCTGTCACGTCCCCCAAACCACCAGCTTCTCAGCAAGATCCCTCTTAAAGTGGGGAGTACTTCTTGAAGAAGGACCCTCTTAAAGATGAAGGAAGAGAGTGTAAATTAGAGGATAATAGGAAGGGGGCAGAACGATAGTACAATGCGTAGGGCTTGCATGCAGCTGACCAGGGTTTGATCCACACCATCTCATAAGGTCCCCTGAGCACTTCCAGGAGTGATTCCTGATTGAAGAGTCAGAGGGGGTCCTGAGTACTTCCAGGTGTGACCCAAAAAAGAGGAGGAGAAGAAGAAGAAGAAGAAGAAGAAGAAGAAGAAGAAGAAGAAGAAGAAGAAGAAGAAGAAGCAGGAGGAGGAGGAGGACGAGGAGGAGGACGAGGACGAGGAGGACGAGGACGAGGAGGAAGAGGATGAGGAGGACAAAGAGGAGGAGGATGAGGAAGAGGACGAGGAGGAGGAGTTGAAGGAGGATGAGAAGGATGAGGAGGATGAGGAGGAGGACGAGGAGGAGGAAGAGGAGGAGGAGGAGGAGGAGAAGAAGAAGAAGAAGAAGAAGAAGAAGAAGAAGAAGAAGAAGAAGAAGAAGAAGAAGAAGAAGCAGGAGGAGGAGGAGGACGAGGACGAGGAGGACGAGGACGAGGAGGAAGAGGATGAGGAGGACAAAGAGGAGGAGGACGAGGAGGAGGAGGAGGAGGAGGTGAAGGAGGAGGAGGAGGAGGAGGAGGAGGAGGAGAAGAAGAAGAAGAAGAAGAAGAAGAAGAAGAAGAAGAAGAAGAGAAAAGAAAAGAAAAAGAAAAAGAAAAAGAAAAAAGGAGTAAGATAGTTGCCAGTGATAGTACAGCTGGTAGGGCATTTGCCTTGCACGCAGCTGACTTGGGTTTGATCCCTGGCCTCCCATATGGTTCCCTGAGAACTTCCAGGAGTAATTCCTGAGTGCAGAGCCAGGAGTCACCCCTGACCATCGCTGGATGTGACCCCAGAATAAAAACAAATAAACAAAAAAGAGGAAGATAAAAAGAGAAGTGAGCCCAGACATGGAAAAAGCGAGAGGAAGAACATGGGCCAGAGAAAGGCGAAGTGGACATGGAGCCCAAGACCAGGGCTGGGAGAGAGACCAGGAAGCCCCTCCCCATCAGACCCCCGCCCTCTTCCAACAGCTGATCCCAGCTGTTGCAGGCACTTGGGTTGACATCCAGATAAAAAGCGCAGGGAGCTCCAGCCCAGCCAAACACCACAGGATTCATCATATCCACCCATGGCTGAGGACAGAAACATGGCCAGCTCCAGATGATGTTGGCCAAAGGCAGAGAGGGCCACAGTGGCCAAAGGAGCAGGGCAACTCCAGGGTCCCCCATAGTCCTGTGTCCACTTCTTAAAATGGATGGACATTTATCCCCGACTCTTCTCAACACCCACCCAGGAAGAGCACTCCACAGCTGACCCTCGCCACGGGGCAATCCCGCCCCAGCCCCAGTCCTGAAACCACAGGCAACTTCATCTTCATTTCTCTTGTTATCTTGCTCCATCGACCAGGGCACAGCTGCTGGGTGACCTTCTGTTGAGGAGCCGCTACTCAGCGTTCTCTTTTCCCCATTCTGAAAAGAATCCATCAGTAATCCAATTCTGCTAGATTCAGTCCCATCTCAGCTAGTAACTCCCCACACAGCTTTTGGAAATAGTCACTTTGCCTACTCGGAGCGCCTGAAACCTGTGGTGAATCTAACAGGCACATCCATGTAATTAGGGATCTGAGGGAGGAGAAACAGGGAACTGCTTCCAATGAGTTCACTTTGGAAACATCTCCTGGCTGAGAGCGGATGGTGGGAGAAGCACCGGGCAAGCGGCTCATGGAAAAGGGAAAAGCATGGGACAGGGGACAGGATGGAACAATTGATGAATTAGACACCACGTGCATTTCTCTTTCCAAATCTTTCAAAGAATTGTGACTTACTGTGGTCAGAAATATTCTTGATATCAATGTGCATATATCACTAAAATAATGACAGCAACAGTACTTATCCCCCCTGTAAAACTACATGAGTTGTTTTTTGTTTTCTTTTGTTTTGTTTTGTTTTGTTTTGCTTTGTAGGTCACACTCGGTGATGCTCAGGGGTTACTCCTGGCTCTACACTCAGAAATCACTTCTGGAGGTACTCAGGGGACCATATGGTGTGTATGTGTGTCTCTGCATGTCTTTGTATGTATCCATTTATGTGTATGTGATTTGTGTCTGTGCATATATCTGTGCGTCACTGTGTATACGTCTATGTGTCTCTGTATATGTATTTGTGTGGGATGCTGGGATTCGAACCAGGGTTGGCCATCGATTTGCTCGAGCAGGCTCAATAACGTCTCCATTGTGAGACTTCTTGTTACTGTGTTTGGCCTATTGAATACTCTCAGTAGCTTGCCAAGCTCTCCAAAAGGGGCAGAGGAATCGAACCCGGCTCGGCCGGGCTGGCTGTGTGCAAGGTAAACGCCCTACAGGTAGGGCATTTGACTTGCACGCGGTCAACCCAGGTTCGATTCCCAGCACCCCATATGGTCCCCCGGACTCACCAGGAGTGATGCCTGAGCACAGAGCCAGGAGTAAGCCCTAAGAACCAGGTCGGCCATGTGCAAGACAAACGCCCTACCTGCTGTGCTATCGCTCCAGCCCCACATGGATACTTTTCTATGCTGTTTTGTTCATTTCATCCCATTCCGTTAGAAATCTATCCTCTCCTATTCTGTCTGTTCTATCCCCTTCCATTCTGATTCCATCCTCTCCTATCCTATTTTATTCTTTAAAATGCTGGTCATAACCTGCTAAAGTTACTTCATAAATCTGCTCCTGGACTACAATGCATAGTTTTAAAAACATGGATTTTGTCAGTCTCTGCCATCAGGCAAATTAGTGGCTGTTTATATCCAAATATAAGTTCATAATTTAAAAAATAAATTCCTTTGGAAAAAGTCAGG